TTCACTTCCACTTTGTTCTGTGGCTGAGACAATTCCACAGAACTGAAGGTACAATTACAGTCTTCAAAATACTGTATCTGCCAAAAGAAAATACATTAAGCTAGTACAGACAAATTGCAGAAAGTCAAACTAAGACTTTAGCAATTATTATGTATGTTCAGGTGTGTTGAAATAGACTACTCTAGAAATTAAGCCCAGTGAACATTGAGCATGGTGAAATTCACCTCTCTAAAACAAAAAATAAAATTCAAATTAAATTACATGGAATTAAATAAAGTTCAGAATAACCCCATGTGACAAAACAATGTTGAAGAGACATCTTAAACATATAAATTCCATCCTTAGTGCTAGGGCATCAACCTTGTACTTTGCTCAGCAAGAAAGTAAGTGTGCTAAACTCAAATGCAATTGTCCAAAAATTAGTTACATAGTTAACCAGGTTTTTTGGGGAAAAATATGCAAAATTCAAACATAAAAAAATATAAAAAGTACAAAATATAAACACAAAAAATATACAGAAGTATAAAATATAAACATAAAAAGTATTTTAACTTACAGAAATGCTTTATCTGGAAAATCATTATCCAGTTTTGTTCATTTGCCTTATATTATGGTTAGAGCCATATCTACTGTATGTAGACACTTAAAATATTAAGTACTTTCATAACATTTCTATTATAGTATTTTCACATACTAACAGACTAACAGTATGTGGTAAAATTATTAAGAACAGGGCATAAGAGTTACAGCTCTTCCTCGACCTAAGAAAACCTATTCACTCATTTTGGCATAGGTAGCTTATTATTTACGTGTTCTCAGCACTCTGTTCAGTCACTGGAAAAACACTCAAATTTGGTCTGAATCCTCAAAAAAACCCAAAAACCCAAAGCCCCAACCAAAAAATCTAACAAAAACAGGAGAGCTATCAGTGCTACACACAAGTTAGTAGATGCTGCTTTGCTCAGGAAAACTATTTTAAAGTAAGCTGAAGTGCTTGAATAAGCTGCTTCTGGTGTGTGACCTGCTGTGGCTGTTGCTTATTCAGCAAAGAACTGAATAGTAAAGAAACCCCACCAAATATACCACCACCCCCCTTTAAAAAACCCCAGCAAACAAACCCAAGAAACCAATTTTTATATCACAAATTAAAAACTTTGGAAATATTTTCAGAATGTGACCAACATCTCCACGAAGTCTCTTCACATACTAAGTTTCCATTTGTGGTTACACCATATCCCACCATTTTGCCAGTCACTATTTGTTACTCACACAAATATGGTTTAAATGTTGTCCCTTAAATGTATTGATTGCAATGTATTGTCTCTTGTGATAGAAATCCAATAGTTTTTTATTTATTTTGTATTCATTTCACCACTACTACCCCACTAAATCCTTCCTGCTACCATGTTACAGGACTGTATTAACAAACCCTCTTCTTCCTGAATTCTCTAGCAGAAAGCTACTGTACCTTTTCATGATTAAGCTCAACAATTTGTCATTACATTTAAATTAATGGCCAACAACAACACACAGAACTTTCTTTCTTAATTATTTGAGTACTGATTTTAAGACTGCAATATTGACAGAGTAGCTTTCTTACAGCTCTGTTACTTCCACTTGGCATTTCCAATTAAAAAAGGTATTTTGTTTTAATTCTTATCTCCTTCTCCACCTGCAGTTAAAATTTATTAGCTAAAGACTTGGTTTATTTAGGTCTAATAGCGTGCTGCTTTCTGTTGAAATGGAATAGTCAGGTGTATTATTCTGTTGCATCATTTTAATGCCAACACTGGAATTTGCCTTGCCTAAGAACTGTGTAACCGCGTGAAGAGTCAGGCCGGATGCATCTGGAGTGAAATCTCTGTGGTGAAACAGCGCATAGTATTCCCAAAACGCTGAAACGCGCGTAGAACGGTTTGCGTTGGAAGGGACCTGAAAGATCACGTAGTGAATTCACCCTCCCCGCCGCGGCCAGGAACAGCTTGGGCTGGAGCGGGCGGCTCAGCTGCGGGCAGCCAGGCACGGCGGCGGGCAGCGCCAATGGCCCGTGGCACGGCGGTGGGCAGCGCCAATGGCCCGTGGCACGGCGGTGGGCAGTGCCAGTGGCCCGTGGCACGGCGGTGGGCAGCGCCAATGGCCCGTGGCACGGCGGTGGGCAGCGCCA